TTTCTGTGAAGGATAGCATAAATGCTAATAGCATTAGCTTCCTAGCTAGCTTTTATCATCATATATTTACTGTCTATATTTTGGTGTACTTACCTTATAATGCTTGGTGACTTTGTCTTTTACATGAAGATGAAGTTAGCAAGCAGTCTTCAGGTAGAAGAGTAAGGAATTTGCCAAACTGTGGCTTCAGCTGCAAGTGTTACCAAAGTCAGAACAGAACACACTCAAGCACTAGAAGTTATAGAAAACATGAAACTGAAACCTATGGTACTGGACCTTTGGTACTGGACTGATGGCCAATGGAAAAAGTATTCTGGTGCCAAAGATTCTGGTACTTTGTGCAGTGGAAAAACACCCTATGTGTACTGCCTTCAAGTATTTACCACAGGCAGTGATTTTGATGCAAACAGTTATAATAGAAGCCAGTGGGCAGCAACTGACGCAGCTGCTCTTTGGCTTCTATTATAAGTGTGTTTTGAGTCAGTGGGTTTTCTGTTCTTTTCACAGTACAATGAAACACTTCAAATGTATTGTTGGTGGTAATTGACCATGCTGTACAGATTCTGCAAATTTTTTTGTCATTACTTTGCGCTTTAGTATATGTCTACACTGCTCTGTCCTGCACTTTTGTATTTTGCATTGTTGTGTTTGGCATGCATGTAAACAAAATAGAGTTGAACTGAACTAAACTGAAACTCTCTTAAAAAAGACACAGGCCAGGGATGTACTATAATAGTTGAATTGAACTTCTTTTACTATCAGCTTTTCCTTGATTTTGCCTGGCAAAATCAGGGCCGGACTGGGACTTTTTTTCCAGACTGGGAGTATGCAGACCAGAACACAAACTCTGTCTCCTGCCACACACACACACACACACACACACACACACACACACACACACACACACACACACACACACACACACATATATATACAGCATTGCCTTTGTGCAAAATAACCATTACTAAAATCTGTGCTTTTTCTTTTTCTGTTCTTTTTCTCAATTTCTTACTCATATGTATGATTTATGTGTCACACTGAGATAACCAAGGTAGCTAGCTAATGATGACATGAAAACTGGTGAAAGCTTTTGTCTTAAATGTGACATACAACAATCAGTACTCTACAAACTAATGCTAGCTAAGTTAAGGGCAGCACTTCTCACTGCCTGCCTGCTTAGATATGTCCTCATCCTCCCTAAGTAGCTTTTTCATTCTTGTCTTCTTGGACACCACCTTGTTTTTTTTGCAGTTTTTATTTTTTTTTTTAAATAGTCTCCTGGAGAAAAAAAATTATAATTAATGGACATACACATTTAACAAAGCACAAAGAAACACAAAATATTTCAAAAATATTTAATTACTAAATTTTGTACGGTAATCTATCAATGCCGGTTAGCTTCTTATTCAAAATTTTGTTCCATTAAATAGTGCAGCAGTTACACACTAATGCCAGTAATGCCATCTGAATGTAACTGCTGCATCATTTAAAGTGTAACAGGAAATGAGAGGAAGAAGCTCCAACTTCACCTAATCTCAGTTCCAATCAGCAAACTGGAACTGTACCACGTGAGGTGGGGGCCGCTAGTTTAACCCCTACATGACTACAGATATACTTTTGGATGTACATTTATAATTTGTGCTTTTGTGCTTTTATGTGTGAGTTTATACATTAGCGCACAACAAATTGCAAAATACAGGGGGTCTTGGGGGTCCAGGATGTCCTTATTAACCTCTTGGACCCCCTGAGTATCTTAAAATCAAAATTTGGGTGGCCTATTATGACGTTATGGGCGGTGCTGCTGCAAATTGGTTCACCCAGTTTGTCCCTCATCGCCCAAAAACTGTAACTATTCCCAGGATACCTCTGGAAAACTTTACAATATGCTGCAGCATATTTTTCAGTTTGAAAACTTGCCCAGTTTCTGAATAGATTGGTAGAAAGACTGGATTGTTGCCCATTTTTCAAACCTAAAACAAAAGAGGAAATGTTTAAGAGTGTGTGGAAGGCCGTATTATTAGAAAGGAGCATTTCCAATAAGAATTGTTAAACCAAACATTTTGTTGCCATTGCCACTAGCATCAGCACCACTATGGCAGTGAATTAACAGCCAGTCAACACCGGCGTAGACAGCCAACATGGGACCCCCCAAATGCCAGGGTGTATTTCTCACACTGGCTCACAGTAACCAGTCACAGCTCCAGTAACTATTGGAAGCAGTTCTGCTTCATTCTTTCATTGTGTTTACCTACCAAAATTCAGTCTTAAAGCATGGTGTATGAGATGTGTTCATCAGCACTCACACTCTGTTTTCTCTACTTATAGGTGATCCATTAGAGCCTGAAGGCATGTAGGCCCTGAGCAAACGGAGACAGCACTGAAAACTCTATCAGCACAGAGCGGAAAGTCTGTAGGAGTGTTTCGTTTGCCTTAAGGGTGTGCATGTGCTTTGAACTTGATTGAGGCAGTTAATATGTCAAGGCAGTTATTGATTAGATTGCCCAGATGTAATAGCAAAGAAGCACCAACAGCTTCAACACTCATCTGCATCTCACCTGTTGTACACTGCACACAGGAGCATAAAAGTACATGATGCAGTGCTCAAATGATTACAGAATCTGATTAAAACACAAGCCCTTAGAACCATGGTTCCTCAACCCTGATCCATGTTTTTGCACTAACACAGCTTCCCACATGCCTGAACTACGTGTTCAGAGGCTAGATTCTCAAAACACTTCCGTCATAACACACTAGGACCGCTGTATGTTCCAAACCTCAATCATAACTGTCTGCTCCAGTGAACATTTTGGACGCCATATTGTCACATCGTTGGTTTTATCTGTGGGTGTGATTATAGCAATATATTTGGGACCACCTCAGAGTAGTCCAAGCAAGATAAAACCAGGAAACTTCATGAAGAAAACACTCCCACATATTGTAAACCGCTCTGAAATCAACTGAAAAGCCATCAAAATTCTTAACGGATGATACTCATATTTAGCCTACACTGACTTTGCTTAATAGCAGTAAAAAAATACAATGATGAATATTTTTAATTATATAATCACTTTCAAAAAGCACAGTTAACAGAGCCCTTATCAGGCAAAAGTGATAAAAAAAACACATTATAATACATTACCATAATACAGTTTAAAATAAACAATAATTTGAATTAATGAAAACCCATCTGTTACACTTGTTTGATCATTTTGATTTAACTATACTCCACAGATGTTCTTGCCAGTTTTTTCCCCTTTATTTATGAATACAGCCATATGCAAAAGTTTGGGCACCCCTAATAAAATTATATGCTTTGTTGATTTTTAAGTGAAAATGAGTTAACACATCCTCCACAAAGAACAAGCTTCTGCACTTTTTAATGTACAATCACCGGTGCTGAATTTAACACAGGGGAAACAGGGAAAAAAAACAAAATGTGGCCTGTGCAATAGTTATAGCACACTTGATATTTAATGTTTTATAATTATATTCTTTAAATAGGTTTATTTTTTATCATATGTTAAGTTCAGCAAATAAGTTGAAATTGTACATTAATGCAATAAAATGCCATATTTAGGTTTGCACCCTGAAATCAACAAAACATACACAACAAACTTTTACATTTGACTGTACATATGTAGTGACAATCAATCAGCCATTAGTGTCATGCACATATGCATATATAAAACATAATAATAACATAAAATACACATAAGTTCTTGCCATTGTTTACACTAAGCCGATGGCAATGACAACCATGTAGGCTTCCTCACTCACCTCCTATTGGCAGGTAGCAAATCAGCTGATGTGCCACCTTCCCTTTAAGAATGAACACAGGAGTTACGCCATGACTGCTTTAGCATATGCTCTTCTTTTGAGAATGAAGCACAGTGAAGGTCACTGTGAAGCTTTGAGAATTCAAGCCCCATTTTTCTTAATGGCTTCAGGTGTGCTCAGTGCTGGGACAGAGTAAAAATGTGTACAGACCTTATGGGGCCCTGAAGACTGGTTAGAGAAGTACTGCCTTAGAGGTATCACAGTTATCTCCGACAATGACAAAAGCATGCGGTCATTTCGTTTCTCATTATGTCTCACTCGTATCATTTACACATAAGAAAGTTCTACTGAAAGTGCAGATACTAACACCATATTTGTGCTCATAAGAAGAAGATTGTTTAATGATTTTAATTGGATGAAAAGCTATCGTGTCTTGTTTTGCAGACTATCTATGTTTTGGTCATTGTGCAATATCAAAACAAACAGAAAAGATTCAGAAGTGCAGACTGTAAACTAAATGTAAATGTAATTCATTGCTTATCTAATTAGACATGTAATTATGTAATTATACTTAAATATTAAAGCAAAAAAGGTAAGAACTTGTGGCTTCTGAGAGTTAATAAACTAAAATTCAAAGCAGAAGTAGAGCACACGAGTTGTCAGAGGACAAATTCCAGACGTACAGAGGTTTGAATAAACTCAATGAGAACTTTTATCCCATAATGCTAAAAAGGAAAAAAGTGCCTGCAACCAGAATAAAGCAAATTCCTCAGTTTATTCTTAATTCACTGAATTACTTTTGCACATCCCCGAGCAGTCTCCTCAATTATGGGTACAGAGCTTGAAAAAAAAAAGAAGCTTGAAAGGGGCCACGGAATGGAAGCACAGAGATAAAATGAAAAATGCTTGAGAAATTCCGGCAGCGCCGCAAGAGTTTGACTGAAGAAAGTGAGAGTATTTGTGCAGCTTGAATGGTGGAGAACGCATTCAAATATCCAATAAGTGTCCCAGAGATGTGACTGCTCACACACCTGGAGTTATCTCAAAGCCCGCTGTTTACATTTCTTCAGAAAAATGTCTGAGAGGAAAAAAAACAGCGTAACAAGACGAGCTGCATGTTAATGTATTAAGAAGTTAGATTTTCAATGCAGGTATGTCTTAGATATTGCGCCACAGGCTGAGCATCCACTTTATTAGAATGTATTTTGGGGAACAAACTCCTCTTAAGTTGAAATACTATTCTTTATTATGTTTGCAAGCAGAAAATAACAGAATCAGTCCATTGAAACAAACAGATAGAACTATTGTCTACATTGCACATGTACGTGTTCACCTCTTGAGCATCCACCATTTTGTCATACCACAGTACAAAAGAAACTAGTAATAGTTCTAAATAGCCAATCGACCTATTGCACCATAACTCACATGCGCTTGTCAAGGGAATGTTTGAGAGATTCTAAACCTTGAATTGCATGGCAACTCAAAAAGAAGCATAGAAACCATACACACAAAAGTATAGATGATTATTTAGTATATCAGTATAGCGGACAGTTAATGCAATAGTTCAGTGGTTTTCAATGTAATTTCTGATTGCCACATCTGTCATGTGCAGATTAGCAGACAATAATTTTGATGGGTTTACCTGTACTTGCAAAAGAATAGAAAATGTGCTGACCAGTGGTTCACTGGTTTATTTAGTTTCAAATGTCCATGTTTATTCATGGAATTCAGCTACTGCCCAATTTCAAGGCAACCAGTATTCTTTTTCTTACAGGGAAATGTAATTACTGTCTTTGGTAATTGAAGGTGCAATACAGATGTGGAAAACAGAAATGAAGTTGAAAAACAGTGAGTGTTCCTTTAACATACAGTACCGTGCAAATGCCAGAGACCACCCTTTATTTATTTAATTTCCAGCTGAAACTGTGGATGGATGGGGAAAGTCAAAAGAAAATAGGTGAGGAAAAAAACAGGAGTTTAAAATAAGTTCCAGTCTTGCTTCAGATCTGAAAAAAAATCTATAGGTGTTTCTGCCTATCCTTCCAACTCAAGGCTATGGGTCTGAGAGGATGTGTAGCTGTTAAATAGCTGTTACTGAGAAAGACTAAGAATTTTGCAAATCAAGCAATGAAGCTGCTGGTGTTTTCAGAACAATGGACTTGTCACCCCAGAGACCTGACATAAACCACATAAATCAATGGATGTGTTTGAGATTATTTGGACTGTGAGAAGCAGAAAATGCAACCAATTTATAAGACTGAACTTTGGAGAAGTGGAAAAATATCCCTGTAGATTTCTTTGAAAAATTGAAAGAACTCACCCAAAAAGAATTGAAGCTGTAACAAAGATAAGGGGTGGATGCCCTAACTACTGAAAAAAATATATTTAGTTGTTGAGGCTGTTGTGTAACTGTTTTGTTGGTGTTTATGCTGTTTTGTTTGTGTTTTTTCTATTTCCTGATACTGGAAAATGACTTAAGCAGTACTTAATGACCATTTTGACTGGACATTAAATAAATGAAAAATGTTTTTTGCACAGTACTGTATACCAATGGCCTGTGAAATGCTTCCAGCATTTCAACAGTCTCAGAAGAGTAAAACCTTATTGTATAGGAAACATATACAGGAGAGTATGCATGTGATGAAGATGAGGATGAAATAGCTGGACAGTCAGGAGGTTTTGCCTGGAGTGGATTTGCGATTGTTGAAAAACAAAATAAAACTATCAAGAGCTTATTGGAAAAATCATCATTGCTTTTTCATGAATCATTACAGACCTGTTTTACCAGGCATGGAAAAAGTTAGTAACTCTACAGAGATGAGATATTGTTGTAGGTATTTAAGAAAAATACAAGACATCTGCACCCTTTGTGGATTTTTTTAAGAAGGCACTACATGCAGCTGAACTCCTCATCCACTGATCCGCATTCACCTACTTCACTACATTGACAGAATCAGGCACTATCACTACAGCCACCTGTAGCAACCTGTAGATGGGTAAAACAAAGTTATACCATAGCAATATTTAATAAGAGAATCTCAAATATAATCAGTTTACATTATGTAGCAGGAATTGAGCTCAGTTCACTGAAAAGTAATAAATCCCCTCATAAAGTAGTCATCAAAGCAATCCCCAAAACCCTACTCTCTACTTGAGGAAATACAAAGCTGGATGTCATGGATGCTAAATCTTCTGCATTGAAAAGATAATAGCCAAAAGAGGCTGTTTGTTACATGCTGTCAATTTCCTGCAGGAAGCTTGCTGTGACTTGAGGTTTAAAAGAATATATAGATTTATGATGAGATTAAAAGCACACTCATTGTTTTTACAGGCATACAACTGTATAGTAGTTGCATTATCTTCATATTGAAAATATAAGAACACATCTTTTACTTTCTTTGACCGGGAGAAAACTGGTCTTTGGAATGCTCACTCCAAATTTCAAAGCATTAACATTTCAAAATAGATCACTTATAAAAACCCTAATTTATAAGGCTTAAAATATTACTTTTTGGCATAGACTGCTTCAAGCTTCATACCCTGCATGCAGATTGTCTACAAGGATTGTCAAGATTGCCAGGAAAATGCAAAGAAAGTAATGTGTGTTACAATTAGTCAATACAGCTTACAAATATGAGTGAAGAATGTAATATTTAGCTTAACTGTATGCTAAAGTAATAACTTTTGCCTATGCTTTATAAGTAGGACAGATAAGTATAAGATCAATCTTAAAACAATGCTGACAAAGTTAAGATTTAATGCATAGTGCTGGGCTTCTGCTTCATCAAAGCACAAACAGACCCCAAATTCTTTTAAGTGCATTTAACTAGACTGTTCAGCTAGTGAGTTGAATTTAAAGTTTAAATCTCAGCTATAGAAGCCTTCGGTTTTTATGGCACTGAAATAATGAAACTCCTCTGTGTTTCTGCTGTAAAAGTGAAAACTTATCATGGAGGTATATGTAAACATTCAAAAGGTCTAAAGGTAAGTGAAGACAAAATGTATTTGTTTATGGATGATGAAAATATGAGTTCCATAGGAGAGTACATTATAAATAGCGTATCTAGTTCAGAAAGGCAAATGCATGAATATATGTGTGTAAAATCTATAATTAAAGAATAAAATAGGATTAAAACAGATTTTAAGTTGTAAAAGGATGCATACTCATTTGAAGTAGTAAAACCAGTGGCTAAGCCACAAGAAAGTTGCCCTCTGTGACAAGTTAATGAAATCCATTCATTGCAAATTAAATATTTTAATAATAATTAATTATGTCTAGTTTCAAAGCCAATTTAATTTAAACAGATAACTATTATGGAAAATAAATAGTATCCTCAGAATTATCATTGCATTAAGACAATCCATCAATCAGAATGACAAACACTCTTCAGAGTGTCTTTGTTTCTTTCACATACAGCGAAATGTTCTACAACAACTCCAGAGCAGAGAATTATGAACAACAAAACCAAACAAAAGCAACCTGTATTCTGGAAAGAAAAAAAAAAATTAAATTTACAGTATTTTATACAATAAGACAAATACACAACTCTGATGTTAGAGCTACAAATTATATAAACATCTATATATTTTAAAAAAGTCATAAGAAATAAGCAATAACTTTAGTACACCAATTATAAATCAAGAAAAAGTGGAATAGAGAAGGCAATGATAGCTACAGTGCAAATGTTTCTCAGACAGAAACCTACTAAGATACGTTTACAGTACCAACAGTTCTTATTAGACACAAAAGTTTGCAGAACGGAAGAAAAATATGAAACACAATGAAAGAAGCGAAGCCCTCCTAGGAAATAGCTACCATAGTCCAATATTACTTGAATCACCTTAAATGGTTTCAGTGCAGGGAAAGCCCAAAGACAGCGTCCCATGACCTAAACTAAGCTTTAGCTTTTAACACTCTAATCATGCTAATTCAGGTAAACAAATCAGTCCGCAAATCTGCGAAAAAGTCCTTAAGGTCCTGCGGAGACAAAGTGGTGTCTTCTACCACTAACCATAATAAAGAATCTTACTGGTTAACACTAGACATAAAAATAGCTAAAAATGAAATTCATAGCTGTGTGATCAGTGCTGTAGAGATTTCTCATGCTAACGTCATTCACTCAGTTTCTTTCAGTCGCCCTCCAGCCACCTTTCAACCAACACTGTGTTAATCTAACGTGCTGCTGTGTAAAAGCCAGCACAGATTAGTGAAAGCATTAACACACAGGACTCCCACCCACTTCATACATTCTGACACATACATCCACACTAAATGATGTTGGCAGTGCAATGGACATACATTTGGTCAAGCAGGTTGAGTCCAGGATCCTAAAGCCCACAAATCTTTTCATAACGTTTGAGTGTGTGTACGCGCGTCCATTCCCAGGTCTAGAGGTGGTTAGGAGTTTAAAAGCCCACTCCAAGCAGCAGAGCCCTCCATAATGTGGTCATCATTTCATATTGTTTTGGTTATTAGTTTGGCACAAGCAGAGGGTTCCGGACTCAGCAAGGTGAAAGGGGTGAGGTTGAAGGTCAGTGATCAGACTGCAGTCTCCTGGTCCTCACGCTGGATCATCTGATAATGCTGACGGTTCTCCAGATACGCCGCCAGCTCTGCATCCTTCGCCTTCTCTGCACGGTGCTTTGGAGTGTCACCCTGGAAAACCAAACACATTGGACAGAAATGCACACTAGAGATTAAGGCTGCGTGACATTTCATTTGCTAATTATTATTGTAAAACTGGTCTTTGGAGTGTGGATACTGTAGTATGCTGTGAAATGCAAATGGTCCCCCTAATCAAGTAAAATGTTTTCACTGTGTGGTGTGAGTGTTTCTGTGGGTGTTAAGGTCATCACATTCCAAGTGTGTTCATATTTAGACACATTTTTTTGCCATCAGAACTATATACAACGTACATAGTGACAATTTTTTTTGTCTTCAAGTGACAATAAGATACCCACTACTCCTCACAAAATCACTGTATTCGGAAGCTGAAACTTCGAAAGTTTTTGCACACAGTTTAAATGTCGTAACACTTTAGGAGATGCTAGCACTACATGTTTGTCAAAAAGTTCTAGCTGCTGGGACACAGCAATAAATTGCAATAAGTTGAGTGAGTTCATGTCACCAGCGGAAGTTCACAAAACAGGATAAAATGATGCATTTTCAACATCCAAAGATTCAGGTTTTCTATAAAAGATGCCATCAGTTTTATTTGTATACATTTGCAAATAATTCAGGTCAGTCAGGTCTGCACCATATCACATTATTGATTCACCAATGCATTTTTAATATATTACCAGGTATACAGCAATTGCATTCTGTAGCATTTTGTCCATAGCATGCAGCCCTATTACAGATCAGATAACATTCTAAACTTTTACTGCTGCTTTGACCTGGAAAACACCCTAAAAACATTTTTACATTTACATCAGATGTTAAATCCTCTTTTCCCAACAGATTTACAAGAGACTATTGTAGGTCTATTGATGGCAGTGAAATTGAGCTGTCAAAAACGCACTTGGACAAAACAAACACATCCTTAAGCTGCATAGCACATCAGAATCAACATTTTCTCTGAAGGACTTCTTGATGAGAACATGCTGTCTGGTGAATTATTTGAGACTTCTTGAAAACATGTGATTCACCGCACTGTCTGGCACAACATCTATTCCTCTATTGCTTATCCAGCCGCCTGGCTCCCCCTTCCCTCCACATCACGTTTAATTGGTCCCTGCAGCTAGTGAGACATTGTTTAGTAATGAGACTCTTGGATAGAAGTCTCATCCAGCAGTTCCAGAATCTGGAACCCTTTATAATGCTACTTCCACATATTCTTACATCCAGCCCCAAACAAATGCTGATTACAAACAGCTGTATAATTCCTTTATATTAGCTTTCAACGTTATATGCAACTTGGTGTAAGCCGGGAAGATCACAAACGCATCATCAAGTCTTGCTGGGTGTAAATTATTCTCATCTGTGGCAGACTAGTGTCAACATAGATCCTAGATGTAGGATGCCATGAATGTAAAGATCATGCTAGGGATGTAAATGATTAACCCATTAACCATTACCTGACAAATAAACAATTGTTTGTCCAATGCTATTGGTTAAAAAGTGTTTATTAATTTGATTTCTTTTCTAAAATTCAACAGTTCCTATCTGAACACACAGGTTTGCCATTTAAGTTGAGGGGTGTTTTTGAATTGTACGTATGTGGGAGCAGTAAGCAATTGGTTGAACTAGATATACCTAGTAGAAAAATTATGAATGCAGCTTAAAATAGTGCTGTTCGGGACCAGAGGACAATAGCACATGCCCGACAGTGTATCATATTGAAACTAAATGGCTGCGAGTGATAAGACAGAAAATTCTTCTTATCCACGTTCTTTGAGAGAAAGTGTAATGCATAGTGGTGTGTGGAAATCACATATGGGTGTGCAAAACTACAGAGAAGACTGTTTCAAGAGCTGTTAAGGTACACTGTGCCAAAAGTGGCCCTAGTCATGGCATTTATATTTATTTTAACTTGGGCTAGTAATGAAAAGAAAATATATCTTCAGAACTTTAGAATACATACATCATTATATATTACAGTTATTTTGTCCATGTTTTAGAATTTGGTCATATGACTATGAACACCTCCATTTAAACAAAACTGGGTTTGTATGTAGGATATGTTGAATACTGTTTTGGGCTCTTTGCTTCAAATACATGGTGATGCCTGCATCTATGCACTTTATGGCAGGATTTTTTTACTCTAGTTACAAGGGTCATTGTATAATATGTCACAAAACTTAACATTTTCCCTGCATTGCCACACCTGATTCAAAACTACCCTGCACTGCCACAACTGATTCAAAACATCCACCATCGAGTTGCCAGCTTAATTGGTACACTGTATTTGTTTCTACACTCACTGGCCATTTTTCAGGCACAAAGAACTTTTAGGTGCACTTTCTAGGTTTACAGTTACTGAAAGGCCATCTGCTGTTAAACGTGTTTATCAGCCCCCTCTTTAACAAAGGACCACCATAAGACCACTGAAAGGCAGATATTATTTGCAGTGACACTACTAACGTACACTATATGGACAAAAGTATTGGAACACCTACACATTACACTTACACAAGCTTTTATGACATCACATTCCAAATCCATAGGCATTACGCTTTCTGCTTGTAGAAAGAGAAGCTGGAACAGAAAAGGGCCTTCCCCAAACTGTTCCCCCAAAGTTGGAAGCATACAATTGTCCAAAATGTCTTAGTATGCTGAAGCATTAAGATTTCCCTTCACTGGAACTAAGGGGTCTAGGCCAAACCCTGAAAAACAACCCATAGCATTATCCCTCCCTCAGCAGGTAACTAAGTCAGCAGAGTGTTGGTGACTTTTGTGCACTAGGCGCCTCGGAACTCAGCGACCCCCCTCTGTACCTTCACATGGTGTGTCACTTTGTGGCTGAGTTGCTGTGGTTCCTAAACGCTTCCACTTTTCAATAATACCACTCACAGATGATCGTGGAATCTAGGAGGGAAGAAATTTGGCAAACTGACCCGTTGCAATATCCTGTTACAGTACTTTGCACAAATTCAGTGAGCTCTTTAGAATGACTTATTCTTCCACAAATGTTTGTAAAGGCAGACAGCATGGCTAGGTGTTGATTTTATACACCTGTGGGAATGGGACTGAATGAAACACCTAAATTCAAAGATTAAGAGGTCTGTCTCAATACTTTTGTCCATACAGTGCAGTAGCGGCATGTTATTAGTTTCCTGTGCTGAAATTAGTGCATCAGGCACAGCAGTAGTGCTGGAATTTTTACATACTTTAGCGTCACGTTTTGCATTAAAAGAAGATGAACTACAGTCTCTAACTGAAAAAACTACAACGTGTAACATCAAGATAAGTGTGTGTAATGAAGTACACAGCAAGCATAAGTTAAACTTGGCATACTACAACAGAGAAAATGGCACTGCATGGATTTCCCAAGTCTGGAGCCGAGAACGTCTAGAATGGAGCTTAACAACCCAGCCAGTATATCAGATGTGCTCTGAGCCAAAACCAAAACATGGGCTGTCTAGGGGTGAATGAGTTCTCAGTTAGGTTTATGAACCACTGCTCTAGAGGAACGGCTTTGAGCAAAATCGCTCAGATACAGACTTCCCTGGCCCTCTCTGCATTATTGTCCATGAGGGTACTGCCAGAGCCACTGAATGGCTCTAAGTGCTAACGTAGGCAGGCCTGCTGAAAGGCAGAACGCTCTGGACTCTTCCGCTCAAAGCACAAACCTGCCCCAGTGTCGGCGGGGCACTACCTTTGTTGCGCACTACAAACGAGATTGCCTTTGTGTGCTGAAACAGAGTGGCTAGAGCTGAATTACATACAGTTCCCTCTTTCTGCTTATCGGTTTTTCAGGTAAAATGTCTGCTCTGGAATAACAAGGATGTGTGGCACACAATGGAGAACATTCACAATGAAGAAAAAAATCACACAGGAGAGCTTCCATTCAAATCAGCAAAAAAGAATTACAGCAAATTCAGACAGAAGAGCTCTTCCCAACTTGCAGACCACAATCCTACCCATTGTTTTAGTGAGCTTTTAAAAACTAGTGCTGAGGCTCTGTAACTGATAAAGAACCAAAAAAGACATAACAGCAGTAAAAGACCAGTATGAAAGAACATGCGGAATGTTCATTATCTCCAAGCTAAGACAGAGAGAGAGAGAGAGGGAGAGTAAGAGTGTGTAAGTAAGACAGAAAGAGAGAGAGAGAGACAGAGAGAGAGAGACCCAGAGAAAACGGGAGGCAGAGTAATGATTTGGTTTTAATGATTTGGCGCAGTAATGAGTAGTTGTGTATTGCTGTTTATGGTATTTAGGGCCAGTTTAAGGTGCTGGTAGGTGGGTTGAGGAGTCATGTCGGAGTCAGCTGCTCTGTCTAAGGAAAAGTGAGGGCTGCCAGGCCAGATGATGGAAACTGATCCCATCTGTCACGAGTGAATGCTGACTCAGATCTCAGAAGCTGACTCAGAGAGCCAAACGGAGAGTCAGAGAGGCTACCAGCTGAAGCCTGGAAGGCACATCAGTGCCCTCCCTGTCAGACAAGCCTAGAAACAGCACCAAAATTATAGGCCTCGCACAAAAGCAGTTTTTTCCCACCAGTCATTGTGCCAAACCACTGACGCACATAGGAAAGTTAAAGAGGATGATTAGAAAATCGCTTCCATCCTGAGCTCCAGAACAGATTTCACTTAGGTTCTCAGGTTATATACCATAGACCTGTGGAAAAGTAGGACAGCACTAATGAAAGATGTTCACTCTGGTGTTTTTCCACTCCACATTCAAAAACAAGTAATGACCCTAACGGGAACCAGTAGAACTTACGGTTCTAGTTCGTTTTCCATTCGCTTGAGAGACTGTCTGTAATTGTTGCACGAACCGTGATTAATTTAAATGTAGCTTTGGTCATTTTATTCCAGTCAATTTGGCTATTAGCTGCCTTATTTGACCATTACAGATAGCTTAACTGATTGGCTAATAATAAACAATACACTGCACTGTTCTGCATGCACACACTCACAAATGTCTATAATTACACAGTATCATGCATAGAATCAAGCAAAGCTGGACTGAAAACTTGAGCAAAAACACAATCTATGGAGGCTACCATAAATGATAACAGCATTAGAGTCAGTATTAGCTTCCTAACTAGCTTATGTCACCTTAGCAAATTCTTGACAAAGTAATTATTCTACAAATAGCTATTGACACATCAACATACAATTCAAGGTGACATTCTGGTGCACTTATTGGTCATACTGTTTGGTGACTTTATCTTCACCTAGAAGAGTAAAGAATTTGCTGATCTGTAATTGGCTTCAGTTGCAAGAGTTACCAAAGAGAGAGAAGAACACCCTTGAGTACCATTAGATCCTGTTCATACCAATTTTGAGAATGTACCCATAAGCATAAAAGTGGATCTTTGGTACTGGACTGGTGGCCAACAGAAAAAGCACAGTTCTAGTTTTCTGGTGCACAAGACTCCTGCACCTGAGCAGTGAAAAAATGCCCATTCTCTTATTTTGTTTCAATAGTAGAGATTTCCATGGGAGCTAGTGGTGTGGGTGATATGATGATGTGATTTTATTATCGTGATAAATTTCATCATGAAATGCTATTCTGAGTGCATTTGGGAACATTGTCAATACTTAAAAAACACTGAACAACTGTATGCTTCATTAAAAATAATTTTAAAAGAGGCTCCCAAGTGGCATAGCTGTCTACTGAAAGGGAGATTGCGAGTCTGAATCCTGATGATTCTGGGTATCCATGTGAGCATAACTGCTATAGTTTAACTGGCTGTAGTAAACTGTTAAATTGAAAAAAAAAATCATAATTTAAATGCATTTACATGTTTTGATAGCATTTTCAGTGTGGTACTACTGATGCAAAAGATCATGATATGTATTGTGCATAGTAAAAATGTCTGACTATTGTTAAGTATTATATTGACCATCCACAGGAATTAGTGATAACTAAGTTAGCAATCTTGCACACCTGTAAGTCTGTCTTCATAAGAGACGCTCCCGCCTCCACCAAGTAATGACAGATCGTCCTTTGACACATCGAGGCCGCCTTGTGCAACACCGTCTCGCCGCTGAAAAACAGACAGAGTGATATAGAGTTCAGCTAACCAGCCGGAATGATCACTGCAGAAGATAGAAGAGAGAAGCAAGCTATGTGCTGAGATTGTCCTGTAATTCATTAGCCTGTACTTCTCACAGACTACAACCCAGTAATGCTTGAAATCCAACTGGCAAAAGTACCATGACAGATGAAGGATCAAGCAAGAGATGATCTATATAGCAGAAAGTCCAGAAAAAGACTCTGTGGTTCTTACTTTTCTCTTTCTGTCACATCCAATATATCGGTGGGTGCTGTTGAAAATGGAAAAACAAAGTTTGTTACCAAGTCATAGGTATCCTAAGGTTAACACTGCCTTTTTTGTTTCTTGCTGTAAAAGCCCTCTGCTACCTTCTAGAGATGCTATTTGCAAAAGCACACATTATGTTGCAATATTATGCACTGTATACTGTATGTGTATTCTGTTGGTAGGCATAAAGTTTTTAAACTCACTGCATTTAAATATGCTACCAAACACAGAGATTGTTTACAAGCCATTGGAGCCATGCTCCTAACATCTGAATTACTATGATTTAACGCAGGTGTAGCTAAACTAGAGTGCATAGTAGTATAATTTGAAGGCAACTGGTTACACCTCAGCTTTTCCTGATGGCTATATTTAGGTGAGTTTTTCTTAGACACTACAGATACTTCAGTGCTACTCTTTTACGTTCATTTCCAATGTTTTATCACAATAGTCGTGAGGTTTGTATGTATTGACACAGTGTGTACGTATTAAAATCAAGAAATTGATTTCAGTGCATTTCAGCTCCAAGTCAGAAGGTCAGAAAAAACACTGGCATTAGGATATTTTCTATAGCCATTCTCTCCTAGTGTAAGCACAGTACATCTGTGCATTCATTTATATGAAAGAGACAGAGACTTTGTGATATGACATCCTTTGCATTATTCCTGAGGTTCAGCCACAAAGAATGGCACGGCAGTGATGGATTGTCATTTGGCTTGACTTGAACAATAGAGCAGCAGTGCAGAATGAATGTTTTTAAAAACGATCCTTCATGTCCAAGATGTTAGGTGATATGTCCTATAGGTAATGTTGAAATAGGCCGAATGCCTATTCACTTCAAAAGACAGTGCAAGGTGTGAAAGGTTTCACCGCAGAAATTTGTAAACTGTGAAGTATGAAAGGGCCTGAACACTGCTGAACAGACTGTATTGGATTGTATGTATTGGATTGACTCACTGTTCTCAATGATGTATTTGACAATTTCTTTGCTGGCTACATCCACTGCATGGTGAAGCAGAGTGCAACCTGCTGAATCCTGCATGCACAGGTCCGCTCCCTGCTTATGTAGCTCCATCAGCTAGAGAGACAAGATAAATAGGTAAACATATGTACATACACAAAAGCACATCAGGGCTGCACAGTAGAGACAAAATACAATACTGTGTAAGACTGCTACATAATGCAACTGTGATGTGCCACATCAAGGATAGATTAGTGAATTATTTTCCAGCATCATTTTTAACCAGAATGGTTTTTGAACCACATAAACCCTTCATGCTCTCATTTGCATACTGCTAATTGTAATATTGTGATAATTAATGAATGATTTATTGAGCAGCCCATGTCGTTATAGAAGAATTGCACTAAACATTTGATTACTGTATCTAAATACTTCTACGCTTACACCTTATCCTTAACCTCAATGTTTCCACTTTTTAGTTTTTGGTCACATTATCATAAACAATTCAAAATTTAACTGTGAACTAAACATTTGTTTGACCAAAAAAGTTATTGTAATTGCATTCATGTCCAATAAACAGCAGTTTCCTGTGGGTTTATCATTTAAGTACAAAATTTTTACCTTTTTCTTTGTACACGTTATCTCTAGGTGATGTCGTTAGAAAACACGATATCAATTTTTATAGCTAGGCTGATGACACACAATTATACATTTCCATTCCTATTGACAATTAAGACTCTGGTGACAGGCGTACCAGCTATGTGCCAAATATTTCTTTGTGGATGTCACAAAATTAGATATAACTAAATCACGAAAAAACTGAAATACTGATCATTGGTACTAAAAGTCAGAGAAAAATGCTTTATGAGAAGCTAGGTTCTTTAGCTTTGTATACCAAACCTGAAGTACGAAATCTGGGTGTAATCTTAGACTCTGAGCTCTTCCCGCATTCTCTGAGTTTTATCCCGCATGTAAACCAGTCACTAAAGCTTTTTATCATTCAAGAAATTTTTTTCAAAGCGAAGCAGATAAACTTGTTAATGTATTTGTTACAAGCAGAGTTGGTTACTGTAATGCTCTTTTTACAGGACTTCCTAAGAAAACAATCCATCCTCTACAACTCGTACAAAATGCAGCAGCGCGCATCCTAACACAAACAAAAAAGAGAGCTCATATCATTTCCATTTTGAAAGAACTGCTGGCTACCTATATCTTTTAGGATGGATTTTAAAGTTCTGCTACTAGTTTTTAAGGCTCTAAATAACCTAGCACCCACTTACATTAAGGAATGTCTGTCTGTTTAGGTTCCAGCATGTGATTTTAGCTCTGTGGATACTGACCTTCTGCGAATACTTTTCGTAACATACAGAAAACATGGAGAGACCTCTTTCAGCTATTATGATTCTAAACTGTAGAACTCAATTCCATCTTTTATTAGACAGTCAAGTTTAGAGCTCAGTACATACTATTAAGAAAAATTTTAAATTTATTATTATTATTATTGACGACTTTATTATTAAGTCTATGAAAACAATAGTTATGCCCTTTAACAACCCATTTGCACCTCATAAAAACTTCTCTTTTGTGGTGGTGCAAGGCGTCTAAAGGATTCCTCTTCCACAGATGTCTTCTACACATCCTACAAACACACATGAATGCTCTGCACCACATCATTACTGTATGGGTCTGTTCAGCTTAATCTTCCGCTAGCACTATAAGAGCAGCCAAATTAAAAGCAAAGTGCTTTCTCTTTCCTGGCCTGATGGTAAGCCTTTCTCTTTCCTGGCCTGATGGCGATAGTGATACTGATAGCAAGTGCGTTTGGAAGCAGAGAGCATGTTCGATGATGAATGCTGTGAGAGAGCTGAAGAGATGAGTCTAATCCACAGTGATGGAGAACTATTTGTACTCCTTAGTGTGGTGATTACAGGCACAGTAGCTGCCACTGGTGTGTGTGTGTGTGTATGTATGTATGTGTGTGTTTGCACGGGTGTTCATCGAATGCTGATGCTGGTCATTTATTACAAGAGACCGCAACAATGGTTCAAGAGCTATCGTGAGGATTCCCTCCCTTTGAAAGATGTATGATTTGAGCCAAATGTTCCATGAGTCATAACAAGTACCTGTACACCAGTCGTGATGAGCAGAGTCAGGCTCTGTTCTGGGCCATTACATGCAGTTTATCTATAGCAACAGGTGAAACATCTTGATTAGCATTTAAAACCCTCTTCATGCTTGCCACTCTGCACCACAGCATTGTGGGTAGATGAAAAGGGCTTGAGTGGGTCATTAAGAGTAAGTGGGTCTCACTCAACGGAAAGCCTCTATTATTACCATGGAAACCAAGACCTAGTGTAAGGTCAAGGGCGCATGCAAGATGCCTTTTATTTATTTATTTATTTTCATGGTTCCGCCTCCGTGCTGAGAGACACTTGACATTTAATGACAAGGTCAGTGCAGGACTAAAAAGGAGAGGATATCATTTTGCAAGGGAAGATTTACACCAGTGGGGTGAGAACATTTTACTGCAAAAACTAATTTGCTTCGTGCTCTCATCTTCTCTCTGCTCTTTATAACTTAAGACTTCACTTCCCTAGCTCTCTGCATCCTACCACCTGCAGGTCTCTGATGACTCACCCACTAGGGTCTCAATTCACACGTGAAATGATGAAGGGGAGCTTTATTATGTGGTGAGGAGAAATGCTTTCAGCTCAGAGTGAATTCCAGTAGGAGTACAACCATTATAATTCAGGTTAGGCTCACTACTAAGAGAAAGAATGTGGAGACTGGGGGTCCACACTTCAATGACAAATGAAGCAGGGATAAACCAGTGTAAGAAGGCTCACAGATGCCTTTTATCTGAAGAAAATTGTGATGTTTTAATAATGGACTAGTTTAAATGTTTCAAAATGATTTTAAAGTGTAGTGGTGAGTGTAACGCAATCAATCAATGCACTGCAAACAAGACAGCCCTTCTGGGCAAACTCACTGTGCGTTCTTACGTTCTTGTGCCAGTAAAAACACTCAGTACTCAAGAAGGTGACAGAGGACAAATCAGAGCGAGATCTACTGTCATTCTCAACAGCTGAACGTGGACAGTAGAGAAATGATTTGCTTTACCTGTTCTGTTGGAATGAAAAGGCGATAATTTAGCATAACACTTTTGCGTGAGACTCAACCACCCGTCCGCTATGGCAGTTGAGAAAGCATGCTGGTGGTACAAGACCACTTGGGCAGGCTTGGCTTTCTCTATAGTGCCCTTTGCTGTGGCACTCAAAATGCAGCTCACACTTGCATTGCTTTACGAATAGCATTGTGACAAATTTTTGAACGCAACAATGTACGAAACCGTGTCTGTAGCTCGAAGTGTCTGTGTGCTGATGTGAAGTATGTTACTGGCCTAACGCTTTAAATGTCTAAATAATGTCAATTCTTACGTATAAGAAAGGACATTATAAAAACTGCAGTGAGGGACAGTAGGACAAGAGCAGTGAGCTTAATGATTTAAGCTCAGGGTCTTATGGAGAAGGGGGTGAAAGCAGAGTTTTCGGTTCCCAAAATTTTACATTTCAACTGAAATGCACTCTGTAATGATTTAGAAATTTGTTTTTGACCATGTTGGACAGTTGTTTTAGCTTTATTATCCAGATCCTTGGCTGTGAAGTAAAACTATGACTATGAAGTTACTTAAACAGTAGACACAGTTAATTTAAATTTAATATTCATATAGGTAAATCATGCAGGAATTGCTGTTTTTTTATACAGAGTCCCCTATTTTAATGAACCAAATGTAATTAGACAACTATCTACTTAGTCATTCATTTGCCAGCTATGTCACTGTTTCATGCGTAAAAGAGCTAACAAAAGGCAGCGAGATGGTTCTAGATGGGCCATTTGAATCTGGACTCTGAGGACTGAACATGTTTTGATAGCAATGAAGTTAAGCAAGATTGCACTGATGACCTAAGCAAACAGCAAATGATCTGGTAGATGAAGGAAGACCACAGTTGCAGATGTAGTACTTTAAATTGTGAAGGAAAACCCCTGTTCAAATGTTGAAGAGATCAAGAACATTCTCCAGGATGTAGATACAGATGTGTCATAGACCACCATGAAGAGAAGAATCAGCATGACCTAACAGAGTTTACCACAGGATACAAATCACTGGCACGTCTCAACAAGCCAGATTACAGTTTGCTGGAACTTACATAAAAGCTCTGTGGGTTTCTGAGATAAATGGACAAGACTGACCTGTACCAGAGTGATGAGAAGAAGAAAGTGTAAAGAAAAAAAAATCTCACCATCAAAAGCTTGCCACCCCATCTGGGAAGCATGGTGGTACAGGAATGGGTGCCAGTAGAGCAATTGTTTTTATTGATGATGTGACTGCCAATGTTAACAGTGGGATGAATTCTTAAGTTTATAAAAGCATCATAAGTGACTGCTCAAATCCACCTAAATGCGTTAAGATGGATGGTGCTCTACCTTGCGGCAGGCCAATGACCTCAAACATACTTCTAAGGCAACTGTGTTTTTCAGGGTCAACAAAATTGAAATGTTCATCACTGGCCAAGTCAATCATCTAACCAGAATCCTAGTGAGAATGTATTTCACTCATTGAAATCAAAAGTGAAAGGTCTGAAGAGAAAAAAAGGCCAAAAATAAGTAGGAACTGAAAACCTGCATTATAGGCCCTTTTACCTTGTGACTACTTGTGTCTACATTTTTTAATAAAGCATAGAGTACAGAATTTAGGAATGGATCTTGGTTACAACTGATGTTGGGGATAATGATGATGTAAAGGACAGCATTTTTAATTACAGTGATGCTAATGTATTTCTGCTGTCTGACAGTCTTGACAGATGTATACTTTGGCACTTTCACACCCTGTCATCATTGCTTGCTGTGTGTTGTTTTATGTATTAATATGCTGATATAAAATTTAATAAGTAGTTATCTATGATCTTAGGCTGTCTCATTTTTCTCTCTATCTATGTATTTTTTTTCTCCAGCAGGCCTACTGCAGATAACTGAAATGTCTGGTGCTAGGGCTGAAGACCGTCACTGTTGATTAGCATTAGCATTATGAATATATTTTCTATGGGGAAAACTGATTACTTCTATTATGCCAATTAGCTCTGCTCCTCCAGAGAGCTGAATGTGTTTTCTGTGGTTCTTCTTACCTTCTGATGGTCCTTGTTCTTCACACACTCAATTAGCACGTCTGCCGACGCTGCAAGCAGAGAACAGACAGGAGAGAAAGACTTTTATTTTGGATTTTTGCATTCATTTAACTTCTATTTAAGAAAGCTAACCGTAACTAATTGATGATGGCAGGTAAACAAATTTAGCCTGACATTAACCTGAAAGCTAAGAATGACTAAGTGATGTAAGCCCTGAAAACTATATTACATTTATCCAATTAAAGCTAGCCATGAAGCTAAGCGCTTTTTTTTTCCAAAGAGCACTGCTGAGATTGGGAAAAATATGGATTCTAAATTAAAGAGAGAATACACTGCGACAGGAATAATTTCTTAACTAATGATTACCTCATGTGACATCTCAGTTATTCAAATCCTGACTTGCATGCATGCATGCATAAATGTGCATTTGTAAAATATTCAGCTATTCTGAGTTTCACAAGCAGACTTGCATTTGTTTAACGTTCTGGAGGCAGAGGGCTTGGAAACAGAGTGGGGGGAAATAAGATTTTAATTAGCGGTGGTAATCACATTAGGGCACGCTGCCTCTGCGGCTTGTGTCTCAGTATGTTAAATCTGGGTTCAAAGCTTCAGGGTGCCCTTTGTAGATTACCCCTCCTAATCCACCAATCTCTGTGTTTGCTTCGTAAACTGGGAGGGAAAAATAGGAAAAATCCCGGCATGGATATTGGAGCTAACGTGGCTATACAGCTCAGTCCGTGCCTGCGTCTGAAGATACGCCCGCTCCAATCCTGCCTTCAAAACTCTGCCTCCTCGAGTTAAAGAGGCTACTTTCCCTCTTGGTTCAGAAGAGAGTACACAGTGCCAGGTTCAACAAATGTATTCCTTTTCTGCTTCTGCCAGGAAGCTTTTGGAAGGCGAAATGCTAATTCAAATCAATGAGTGATGATAACCTCGGTCTGCCTGGTTGAGCCTTGAAGGCCACGAGAGTTCTTTCCTTCTCCTCTCTCTCCATTCTCTCTCCCCCAGCGGCAAGATAGCAGAAGAACACAGCAGGGCTTTGGCACCTGGCTTTCTCTCAGCTTGGCAGCGGCTCGTTAAAGAGAGGGCGAGTGAGCGTTTGACACTCAACACCTACCTTCCTCTTTACTGGCTTTGGAAATCGATTGGCCCGAGCCAAGCCTCTCCACAGAGCTGCTTTTATTCTGTCTGCGCCACGTTTTACACTCAGAGAAAAAGAGTGAGAGGAGATCTGACACACACTGACTCGGCATTACACACCTACTAAACACTAGCGGAGAATGTATCTCTCTTGCGCTCACTGACTTTTTTTGGATGGCTGGTTGATATGTGTATATGTGGACTGTGGAGTGTTTACCTGGGCTGCCATAGCTCAGAGCATTCTTTTCTGGCCTGCAGGAGACACAAAGACAAAAGGAAACATTAATAACAGTTTTACAGAGAGAGATATACCAAAAATTCACTGAGCACAAAATTATTCACTGGGCTACACAAGCTATTGTGAATGCATAGTGGCAAAAGCTTTAGTTCACAAAGCACAATCCCACTGCTTTCTATGAATTTGTGTATTTGTGTCAACTGACAGAATGCAAACTAATCCCAGCTGGCTGCTCCTCTTGGAAGGGCACTCACTTCTCAGCTTTATACATGCATCTGTTATCCACGTCAGTAAGGCTCAACAAGTAACCAACACTTCAGCCAAGAGTTATTTAAAAACAATGCCATCCAAACTCCAATCCAGATACAAACCAGAGACCATACAAATTCAACACCCAGATCCAAACAAACGTCTATACAGATTCAACCCCAGAGCCAAACCAAGAGCTCATACAAATGGGACTCCAGATTCAAACAAATGTTCATCCAAACAAGAGCTCAGACAAATTCAACTCCAAGAGTTCATACAAACTCAACCAGTGACCAAAACAAGAGCTAATACAAATTCAATCCTAGATTCAAACCAAAGTCTGTACAAATTCAATGCCTCATCCAAATGCAATTCCAAACCAGAGTCCAAGTAAATGCAACCCCAGATCCAAACTTCTCACTGTCCAAACTCAGCTCCAAACCAAAGTCTATACAAATTAAATTCTAAAACCATCTCAGAGCTTTTCAAACTGTAGTCAGTCGAATCCCATGAAGAGCCTGTCCAAACTCAACCTGGAGGTAGTCCAAAACATGATTAGTTCTGAGAGATGTTAGTTCTGAAGAAAAGAGGACATCAGTGACTGTTTGATTAATGAGTATGACTGTCCTGGAGTCTCTGGCTTTGCCCTTAGACCCGAACAACTTCTCCACCCATAGCAGTCATAGAAGTATCTCTCTCTCTCTCTCTCTGTCACAGACACGCACACACACACACACCTCCAGTGGAACATTTATCCACTCACTGCCTCAGTAGGGGGGTGCTGTATGGCCTGCTCTCCATCTGCGCTAGACAGGGTGCTATTTGAGTCATGCGCTCACAAACACACATACAAACATACACACAAAACACAGCTGGAGCACAGCAGGTTTGGTCGGACAAACAGGTCATCAGCGGCTGATTGTTATTTTTTAGAACCAGAGATAAGACAATTAGTCTGAAGAGCTGCAAATCATTTCCAGGGAGCTTTCAAGTAATGCTGTCAAAATACTGTACTGTGCATTGTAAAGTACAACAGTGTCAGTCCAAACTTTGTAAACATTTAGCTTTTTCCCTTGCCTTAGCCTTTTCAGTTTTTAATACGACAATATTATATAATTATATAACAACAGTTTGGAATACTTTGGGAAAATTTTAACTTTTATAAATAGAAATTTTGTCAAAGGAAAAAGGCAAAACCTCTTCATATCAAGGAAGAAATTCCAAAGGAAAAGAAGATGTCTCCAAACTTTTGACAACATAATAGAAAAAAAAAAAACATTTGAGAACACTTTTTTGAGAAAAGAATTTTCTCAAAGAATTTGAGAAAAACAGTCTATGTTATTCTGACTATAATGATTTGTTTGTTCGATCACAGGAATGCTCTGAATCACCAAAACACCCACAAAGCCCTTACTGGGAACAACTGAAATTGGTCAGGATACACGCACACACTCTCACACAAAATCAGTAACGCAGTGTCCAAACACTGTGCTAATGATTAACAAGCAATCTATTTTGCAGTTCCACCAGCTCTGTCTCTTTTATTTATTATGAGTTATCTCTGCTTGTCTTTGATGAAAACAGCAGCATCTGCAAGAGCAAAATAATAAAGAAAACTTCAATGGAGGAGAATGGAAGTGAATCAGTAAGAAACAGCAAGAGTAAAAACAGTGAGGAAGAAGGAAAACTTTATTTGCAAGTAGGCAGTGTTGTGTTAATGGCGATTAAGGGGAGAAATAGCCCCTGCTGACAGTCGCCTTTCTTGATGAGGGTCTCCGCATGCACACAGCATCTCCCTTGAACAAGCAGAGCTTGTCTCGATAAAATTTTGATCAAAGCAGCAGCGTGCCTTGTCAAAAGCATCAGTTTGAAAGGCACAGTGACAGTGATGCCAGTAATCTGCTCCCTACTGAGAGAAAGATGTGAAGGAGGGGATGAGGAAAGGGAGAGGGAGAGAGAGACAGGTATTTCTAAAACCAAAAATACCCTGCGGAGAGCAGACGAGATGCACATTAGCAGCGATGAAGCTTTGAAACACAAATCTCCTGCTTTCCCTGAACACGGTGTCTTCCAAACCTGCTTTGGAGAAACCATGCACAGGACATTCAAATGTTTTCCCTCCTCTAACACATCTATGCAGGGTTTGTTAAAGGAATACAACCACGTCTATGCCTTTCCCTGACATTACAGTATTTTTTTTCTGTAATGAAGTAGTATAAGAGTTTTACACTACAGTTTTAATCCTTTAATGACATTACAGTTACTGACTTATGCCCTTTTCAAGCAGAATTCGTTTTACCTTGAGAGGTGCTGTAGATTTAGTGATTACCAATGATATGTGTGATTTTAATCCAGTACGAAAGTCTGCTTAGTAATAATTTGAAAGAATAAACAATCATTTGAAGCATTTAATCCTGCTAGCATGAATCTGAGATAAAAACGGCTTTAAGAATTCTGTAACTTGCCAATGGCTTCTAAGCTCACCGGACAAAAAAAATCAGTCACCTGTAAACGTACCCAATAGCGTGTAATACGTCCATGAGCACGAATAACAGCTGTGATTCGATTTGGCATGGACTGGACAAATTTCTGGATGTAGGCGACGTCAGTGTTCAACGAATTGCGCAGCTCGGCCAGACTTCGTGGATGCCTTCCCTGGCGTCTTACCCGTTCTTCCGGGTAGCCCCACAGATGTTCAAGAGGGCTGAAATCTGGGGATTTTGTGGGCCAGTCCAGATGTGTGAATGCTCCTAAATGTTCGTCATGCCAATCAGTCACATTTGCAGCCCTGTGAATGCAAGAATTGTCATCTTGGAATACAGGGATAGGAATGTTATGTTCCTCGGTAAGAAGGTGAGCAAAACTTGGTTTTCCAGCAGCTCAATGTAGGCATTGTGGATCAAATTTACTGTCACCTCAACCAAAGGACCCATTTCCGCATAATTAAAACACCCCCAGAACATCACAGAGCTCCTCCAGCCTGAACCACATCTTGCACACAGTCCTCATTAAAGGCTTCATGAGGTCTACAATGAACACGATGCCTAGTATTATTCACATAAGGCAGAAGTGAGATTCATCTGACCAGCTAACACGTTTCCAATCATGAACAGTCCAATTCTCTTTGCCTTCTGTAACCGGGCAACTTTGTGAGCAGAAGTGAGCAAAGGCCTCTTGCGTGCCACTCTGCTCCATATGTTCATGGTATGATATTTCCCTGCAGAGTGTTTTTTCAAAAACTGGTTGTGAAGAACCTGCACTAACTTCTAGTAGCAATTTTAGCCTGGAAAAAAGCGATTTTTATTCCCATCAGTGAAATACACCGGTGGTCCCTGTCCATCAGTTTTGTCTTCAATAAACCTGCAAATTCAGCTACTTCCTTCCCACTATGGCCTTTGGCATGTCCAAATGCAATCACTCCTTTCTGCCAATCATTAACATCTGCTTTGCGACCCATTTTTGACACACTGAACGAGACATTCACTGCAAAGTCATCTGCAGGAGTGTGTTTCAAGTCAACAGCTTTTCAGTTCTTTCTGAAATTTAGGGAAATGTATTAACAGAATTAATGTCTGCTAATGTATGATATGAGACATATTCTACAGATAGAGAAAAACACTGGCATGTCTTTTAATTAGCTGATGAGATCAGGCAGATGTGTTGTGAGCAGGGAAGCCCTGTTTTTATATATAATAATCATGTTCACAGGGTGTGGAACACTTTCTAAATAGTGCAGTCTTGTTCGTCTCAAACGTGCTGCTCATTTTTGACTAACCCCTGGCCCCTATTCCACTCACTCAACAAAGGTCACAAAGGGCATGGGAGTTGTTCTTGAGTGCAGACATGAGGGGTCAGATTGGAGTCAAGTCAGAAATGATAAACCTTAAAGCTTACACACCACCTGCCTTTAATATTTCTACCATACAGAACTTCACCCTTTGAGTCACTCAGCAATCTATCATTCTAGAGAGAGAGAGAGAGAGAGAAAGAGAGAGAGAGAGAGAGAGAGAGAGAGAGAGATGAGGGGAAAAACTCATGACTCCCTGCTACTAATGGCTTCTCCCAGAGAGGGGTGTGCATGTCTGTATGTTCGTGTGTGTGTGTGTGTGTGTGTACATAGGAAACCGCACACCACAGTGCAAGAATCCGGTGTGTGTGTCCCGTAATTAGGAACAGCTCTTGGGCTCCAGACTCATAAATCTGGACTGACCCTGCCACGTCACCCTAGCACACATACACATGCACTCTCTCTACTCTCGCGAACTGCTGCCCTGAGGCCTGTTCACTGCTACAAGTCCCAACACAAGAGAGCTTGCTGGCCTGAGCACACCTATTCCAGCAATACCCCTAAACATCAATAAAATAAGAAGAGCACGCACTGTAATCACCACCAAATGAATGACACTTCAGTGTAAGCCTCCTGTCTGATACAAAGTACATCCAGACTCTAGCATTAAAATCTCAATTAACCTCAAAGCACGAGGTTAACTGACATCATATGCAATACCAATTTCACACAGCCAAAGTGTCTTTTAAGCACTATTCAAGCAGGATTAGTTTTACCAGAGGAGACTGTGTTATGTAAGCTATAAGGAATGTGACTGGCCAAATTGTACGGAAAAAAGTAGCTGTGTAATTTCCTCCAATTACCATAGATAGCCTGAAATGAAAGGCCGTTGCCTGAATGTATACATCACTGTTATGTGAGAGGCACAACATTCAATAACAAAAACAACACAGTGCATGTCTGTGTCAATAAGTAGGT